TATAGAATTGTTTAACTTGGTATTAGTACGAAAAGGGTTTATAGGCAATACGAAAAGGGTTTAAAGGCAAAAGGAAGTCATGGATTAAGGTTTCATGGATTAGGTTATGGGATTATACCTGAAAGAACATCTGGTGGGTGGGGAACGCCCCTCACACACCTGACTATGTATAAAAGACCAGTTGTAATTCCCAATAAATGGCTTCTGCACTAGACTGGGGTCCAGTCTCTTTCTTTCTTTCTCTCTCTTTCTCTTTCTCTCTTTCTTCTTCCCCCCCAATCGCCGACACCGTCTCCACCTTTTGTGTACCCTGAACCCGGCTGGAGCTGGACTCCAGCAGCAGGTGACTTTCTGAGCCACATACTTATAGAATACTCCTTTCCCTTTGGTTCACCCATGGCAGAGCAGGGGTATAAGTGGGGAACTGCCCAGGGGTCTGTGGGCACCCAAGGGGACATCAGCAGGGGTCTGAGTGGTCTTGGGTGTGTGGTGGTGCAAGGTGTTTTGGTTTTATGACAAGGACCTACCCTACATCCAGGGACAGATGCTGACCTGGTTGAGCCAACTTGGTGTGGGAAAACCAGGGAACTATTGCTATGTAATTCCCCCTGCCCCTCAGCAATGGTGACCTGGAGCTTAGGATGACATTATTGGACCTGCACCAAGGGCTTCTTGCAGGCTTCTGTAAGAATTTCCCATGAGCTGGCCTAGGGTCATTGCTGTGTCCTGAGACTACTAGGTGCTCAGGGCCTAATTCCCCTCAACAGTGAGGCCTTAGTAAAAATGTCCCTATTTTTAATTGTGGTATAAAAAGCCTCCAGCAAAGCTTTGCTCAATCTCTTAGAAAAAATGAAGCTCCTATTTCCCTCCTTGTGTTGTTCCCAGGCAACTCAGAACTTATCTCTGACAAGTGTTCTGAGCCTCCTACAGATCTATTGTGTGAATTTCCTTCATGGCTTCCTCATATTCCTTTCACATCTCTGGATTTCCTATTGAGTGAAGAATTGAGTTGGGCCCTGAATTTAAGAGCTTGTGAAGTTGACAGTCCTGGTGTTTCCTAGACAGCCCAGCTCTCAGGAGTGACTAGGAGAGGGGGAGAGAGGAAGGAACTGGGTTGCACAGAGAGGGAGGAGGGCATTTCATGAACAAGGGCTGGGAGTAGAGGGTATCCAGGCCCAGAGTGGGGTATCTAGCCTGAGGAGAGAGGGCTCAGGGTAGACAGAGGTTATGGACCAGGGCAGGGCCAGAGGGCATATTTTCAGGCCCAGCCAGGAGAACTCCATCCAGGAAGGAGGTAGGGAGTGGGGATCCTGCTGGGAGAACGAAGGGGGAAAGGAGAGGTCACAGAGACTGATATTTGGTGACCAGACTCCTCATGCCCTGGCCTGTTTCCTGGGGAGATGCCCAGGGAGCCTGTTTGCCTCTCCCTGGGGCAACTTTTCCACTGGATGCAGGAGCCCCCACACCTCTGAGAACCCAGGGAGAATGTCAACTCAAATATGAGACAAGGAATAATGAGATGGAGAGGGTTTCTTATTGACTATAAGAATATTTACTAAGGATTTATTGGTTGCATGGAGAAGGACTGGATAACTTGAGTGAAGGGAGACCCCTCCACCGGGATCCTGAGTTTCAAGTTTCCATGTATCAGAGGAGGCCTGTACCTAAGAACACACTGTGCATGGGCCACTGTCTGCTCCATGGTACTTCCTTCATGCATGACCTGGCAGGTGTAATTGTGGTGAGATCTCCACTGTTTGGGTGTCAGGGTCAGGTAGCTGCTGGCCATGTCCTTGCTGCTCTGTTTGGATGACTTGGTGGTCTCCATGCCCTGGGTGACAAAGGAACCATCTGCCTTCCAGACCACAGGCATGACTCCTGGGGAGTAGTCACTCATGAAACACACCATTGTGGCTTTGCCAACTTGGCCTTCTTCAGAGGAGCATGAGAACAGAGTAACAGAGGGGGCAGCATTGTGGTGACTTGTGGGGGAAGAGGATGGGCAGGAGGTCAGAAGCCTAGCGTCCATCACAGGACTGCTGATGTCAGACTTGAAGTGGGTACAAGGCTAAGGTCCAGGATAGGGACCTCAAGCTGGGCCTTGCTAGACTGAGGTCAGGTCAGTGAAGGGGTGGGGAGACATTAACTTTCCAGTGGGAGACTCTGTGCCCGACCCTTGGAAAGTTGCAGGCATCCCTGGATCTATTTTTTCTCATACATCTTCATCACCCATCAACTCTGTCTCTTCTCCCCCAACACTGGATGAAACTGACTATGGGATCCCAAATCCCCTCTGGTATCTGTCTTTTTTGGCATGGCTTCCTGAACATCTCCCACCAGTTCTTTCTGTGAGAATTGGTTTGTGAGAATGTCTGTCTGTCTTAGATCCAGGCTCTTCTTTCTCACAGGGAAGGAATTTCTTGACCACATGCCCCCAGCCACTCATCATTGCAGTCCCGGTTGCACCTACCTACAGGGCTGCCTTGTGGCAGGGGGTATCAGTGTTAGGGGCTATATTCCAAGGAGTCCAGTGGGCTGCAGGCCTCTGTTTGGGGCTTCTTTTCTTCCATCTCTGAATCTGAGTTTGTACCTACTCTACAGACTCCCTGTAATGGGAAATTCTATGGGAGCATCTGTTTCTCCAATGAGATTTTTTTCTGTGCCATAAGCAAGTGTCCCTGTCACTTGTCCCTATCAGGTGTCACTGTCCTGGGCATCTGCTCTGGGGTATTCCTCCATGAGTGAGATTGGTAGGCATCAACGTTAAAGCCTGCACGTCCTGAGACCAACCCACTATGGTATGGTATTCTGCCTGGGGGATGAGGAGTAACTCAGCACCCTGGGGCCACCTTCTCACAGGACATACTTCCTCCATCCTTGTCCCCTTCCCATTTCCTCCTTCATCTATCCAAGTCCTCAGTTAATGGCCTCCCATTAAGGTGTGTAAAGTTGCCTCATAGCTGGAACCCTGGGAGACTGAGCTGTTCCTAGCATCCTTCCTACATTCCAGCCTCCTGTTCCCCTGGGCCCCTGGGACCAGAGATCCTGGAGAAGGGAGTGGACATCCAGAGAACATAGAAGAATGTCCAAGGAGAGACAGCCCGGGATCATAGTAAGCCTAAGCAGAGGACAGGAAGGAATCTGTAGGATTGTCCCTTCCTGCTGTGACCAGGAGGGGCCAGGTTGGAGTCAGGCTAGATTGGGTGAAAGTTCATACAAGGAGTGGGGAAAGTTACAGACCTCCAGACAGGCCTAGACCTCAGCCCAGATGAGACAGAAGAAAAAAGTTTTTGCAGAGTTCACTCAGGGTCCCAAACAGAGAAAGGGAAGACTCACTGAGGACAGTCAACAGGGTGCCTCCTCTGAACATAGCACACCATGACACAGTCATGCACACAACCCTCCTAACACTTCACCCAGGCTCCACCAGCAGCTGCTTGTGAGGCCCAGGGTCAGCCACCTCCAGCCATGGAGCAGATCTGGGGTATGGATGATGAGGAGGTGGTCCTCCTCACATAGAAACACTCTTTATTCAGGACTAGGAGTCCATCCCTCACCAAGCATGGGAGAGGGTGGTGGCCTGTCTGCACATTAAGGCTGGAGCCCCTGCTAGAGTCTGTTCTGGAAGAGGTTGTGTGTTCAAGCTCAGCTCAATTGGGAATGTTACCAGGAGGAAGTGAGAAGCCTGTTTATGCCATAGGAAAGATAGAATTGGCCATAGGAAAGATAGAGTTGGCCCCTGTGGAGAGCCAAGGCCCTGAAGGGTCCTGCATGCCCATCACGATCCCTGGAGCAGTGCCCATGATGGCAATGGTTGTATGTAACACTTGCCTGTTTGTGAGTCCATCCCCCACCAAGACAAGTTTATGTTTGTGAGTACATGAGTATGCTATGGTTGTGCATGTTTAAATTCTTGAATTCACGGGGAATGTGTGCCCAGCATGATTATGTCTGTGAATTTGTATGTGTCATGTATGTATGTGTGTTTTTGTTTGTGACTGTGGGGTGTGTGTTTGTGTGTGTTTATATCTGAACTCAGGCCCCCACCCTGTGCTATATCCTGGGATAGTCATTTTCTGGGTTCTTAGGTTCCCCACACAGAGCTCCAAAAATTGGAATGGGTTTCCAGACTTGTCTATGGGATCAGCCCAGAATCTGACTCTTGATTTTTATCTCCCAGGCCCCACTGACCTCCATGGACCACTGGATATTAGGTATTCAAGGTGAGGTCAGTTGTGGACTGGTCACTAAGGCAAAGAGAGAGAGAGCAGAGCTGACCTTTGCTCCTCAGGTGCCTTGACTTCAGCTGGGACACTTGTGACACATGAGGGTTGAGGGCATCCAGGGGAGGCATACAGTATAATTGTCAAAGGTCAAGAAGTTGAGGGTTCAGTAAATTCATACTCCAGGTAGGCTTTCAGGATAAAAGACAGTGTCCAGAAAGGCAGAAGCAGGCTGGGCTCCCAAGAGGGAGAGAGACTAAGGACCCATGGACTCAAGGGGCTCCTCAGTCCTGAGAGAGAAGGGCATTTTGAGAAGGGAACACTGTCTAGAGTTCAGGGAGGATGCTGGTTCTTCTGGAGGCCATGGGGAGCCAGGAGAGGTCATCCCATGCAACTGGACATGGACATGTCCACACAAGAACAGTACGTATGGGAAGGCAGGCAACGCTGGATCCTGCTGGCCCATTGCTCTGTTCTGAAATATTCTCTGGGCCTTTCAGAGTGATAGTGCAGTTATCTCCTCCAGACTTCCAGAGTCTTTCCCTTGGCCCTTTTCTCATAAGGCTAAAAGGAATCTGTTTATCTTTCAGGTTGGTCCAATTTATGATAGATAAGGAGCAAACCAATTACAAGACCAGATTATCTGATTGCCAATGAGGATATTTATTGAGGACTTATTGGGTACAGAGAGAAGGGCTGGATGACTTTGTATGGGGGGAGATATTTTTCCTGGGATCCCAAGCTCTAGAACTTCATGGGAAAGGAGAGGGCTGGGGCCTAAGAACACTGTGCAGTGGCCACTGTCTTCTCTATGAAGCTCTCTTCGTGTGTGACCTGGCAGTTGTAGAACTTGCGAGATTTCCACTGGTCGGGTGTCAGGGACAGGTAGCTGCCGGCCACACACACATACTTGTTGCTCTGTTTGTAGGGTTTCGTGGTCTCTACTCCCTGAGTGATGGGTGTGCTGTCTACCTTCCAGTTCACCGACACAGTGTTCGGATAGAAGTCATTTATGAGACACACCATTGTGGCCTTGTTGGTTTGCATCTTCTCAGATGATGGTGGGAAGAGAGTGACGGAGGGGGTGACCTTGGGCTGACCTATAGGGTTGAAAAGGAGCAGGAGGTCAGAGGTCTGGTGTCCACCTAGGGCTCCTGACCTCAGTCTTGCTGTGGGTACAGCCCAGGGCATGAACCTCAGTCTAGGCCTTGCTAGACTGAAGTTAGGTATTGGAGGGTGGGGACACTCACTTCCTGATGGGAGATGCCTCAGAGCCTGAGACTGAACAGGGCTTAGGTCTTCTTTGGCTGGAATTTCTCTTATAAGTTCCCACCTGCCTCATTACCCACCTGTGCTCTTCCAGTACTGGCTGGTCTAATCCGTGGGACCTAACTATCCTCAGGGAACTTCTCGGTATGAACAAGTCCTTTAGGGGCACTCCTACATATCTGTTTTGGAAGGTGTTTGTCTGTCCTGTTTTCAAGATTTCCTCCCTTTAGGGGAGTGCGTTTGTTTCTCACATGTGCCCTGGTACACCATTCCAGGTCCCTCCCCACCTTCCCATAGAGACCTCTCAGTGGGCAGGGGGTGTCATTCTGAAGCTTGTTACAGGGGAGACCAGTAGATCTAGGTGTTCCTTGTGTGGGCCTGTGTTTGTTCCAAGAGGTTTTCTTTTCATAAGATATACTGGGGATCTAGCTGCCCTAGAACATCTTATTGACAGAGAGGTCCCTGTCATCTGTGCCTATCAGGAGTCCTTCCTCTCAGCATCTGCTTTTGGGTCTCTTTTTTAGTTAGGATGCAGATATGCCAACCTTCGTGCCTGAGAGTCCTGAGTGCATACAGTCAAATGCAACCTGTCTGCCCAGGGGGAGGAAGAGTAATCCAGTTTCCCAGGGCTGCCTTCATCTTTCCATGTCCCCAGTCAAAGCTCTTTCTTCCTCCTGTGTAAAGCCACCCCATAGCTGGGACCCACATAGGACAGAACCCGGGAAAGCTGAGCTGTCCCAGCCTCCTTCCCAAATTTATAGCCCTGGTGCCCAAAACCCAGTCCTCTGTTCTACTGGTTTCTGTGGGCCTCAAGACTCTGAGGGAGGGAGTAGAACATCCCAGAGTCCAGAGAAGAATATCCCTCAGAGAGTGAGAGGGCTCCTTTGAGCAGGCAGCAGGAGGAGTCACTGTAATCTTCCTTTCCCACCTTGATCAGGTGCCTGAGAAGACGAGACAGGCTGGAGGGGCTAGGGTTGCAGATCCCAGAGAGATTCAGACCTCTGCCCTAGAAAGAACAGAAGGGAGAAAAATATTTTCCCAAAATTTTACTCTGTATCCCCAAAGATGAGAAAAAAGGGAGACTCACCAAGGACAACCTGGTGCCACTGCCAAACACATAACACCATAATTCAACCCCATACACAAACCCACCCGACACCCCACCCAATCCCCCTGCAGCTGCTCGGGAGCCCTAGGGTTCAGCCTCCTTTTCACATGGGCTGGTGGAGACAGGGGTGGGTGAAAGCATCGCCTTCCACAGACCAGACCATCTCTTCGTCCACGGCTTAGGCATCCATTCACTCCCATTATGGGAAGGGTTGAGAAATGTGTGGAACCTGTTTCCTAGGTCACGGCATTCCTGAACAGGGGCTGTGTAGCCTGCATCAGATAGTGTGTGAATGCCATGGAGGAGCTGGTGAAAGAAGCTACAATACTGGGATGTTGAAGCTGGAACCACTTTGAGGAGTTGTATCTTGTGAGGAGGGTCCTAGATGCCTCTGTGTCCTCCACACTTGGAGGTGGCGGCAGGATGGGCTTTGAATGGGAATTGTGGGTTGCGGGGAAGATGACATTGATCCCAGGGAAACAGACCCCACTGCAAGATCTGAGTCTCAGTGCCCCCATCCTTTGCTTGGCTGTCTTGAAGACACAGTATACGGTCACTGCTCATGTTCCCCTTCAGAGCCCACAAAGCAGCGGCCTCTCTGCAGGTTGAGCATGCTTAATTAGAGCTGGAATGGCCCACTTGGAGCTCCTCATAGTGGTGGAGGGGTCATGGGTTGCCCTGCCAGTACAGTTTCCTCTATGAACTCTAAAGTGGCCGAATCTCTGTTGTCCCCTAAAGCTTCTGGAAAACACAGGCATGCATGTCCCATGTCACCAGGAGAGAGTACACAATAACTTGGGAACACACACAGCACCCAACATTGGATGGACATTTTCAGAGAGGAGCTTGGACATAGAAGGTCTGGGAGTTTTTCCTGGTTTCGGCCCATTACCTGCAGAGCTCACACCTGTGACACACAACTGCCACTCTGCCCTCCCACACAGTGTCCCCCATAGCAGGTGCCTCCACTGACCTCTGCCTGCTGCTCCTTTTCCAGAATCCCTTCCTCTTTCTCCAGAATTCCTTCCTCCTGTCTCCTGTCTCACTCTTGACCCAGACAGATAATCCTGCCCCTCAGATTTACAAGGGTGCCAGGGCCAGCCCCATAGGCCCAAAGGTCAGGGACTGCAGATCCCTGGCTTCTCTTTGATCCTGTCCCAATCCGGATCCTACTGCAGTGTCTTCCGCTGGGGCAGTTCCTCATCCTCCCAGGAAGATGCCCAATATGGATGTGCGCACAGGTGATTTATGTGTATGTGCGTTATAGATCAGATCCCTCACTGCATTATTAAGACAGAGAGTCAGCTGACATCCATGGTAGAACTCAGGAACCTGCCACTTGACTTTGAACTCATCAGCCTGTTGACAATTTGTGGCCTGACCACTGTCCTCCAGTGTCCTTGAATATAGCTCAGACACCCAGTGATGCATACAACAATAAGGTACCAAGGGGTTTTGTTGGTCAAGTGACCAGGGTCCAGGTGTGAGCTACAGTCAGTGAGGGTTAGAAGGAAGGCCTATGGGGGCAGAGGACAGGGGTCATGGGGAGACAGGAACAAGGCGGGCTCCGATGGAAAGAGCAGTGCTCTAGGTTTTGATGGAAAGATTTACAAGTGTGAAATGCATAGCCTTGTAGGGGGAGATGGAAGGACATCTTGAGTGAAGGATGATACCTACTCTGAGGGCCCATAATAACAGGAAAAGAAACTCAGACAATCTCCTTGGGGCCATGGATATGGAAGGAAATTTTATCCCATATTTGCCAGAAGTAAACTTGTGCACATTGTGGCAGGAAGCACAGGGGAGATGCCCACTGTGAGGGCCACAGAAAACAGGAAAGGGTGCTCAACTTTTCTCCTGGGGGCCACGGTGATGGAAGGAGTGTTTGTCCCCTAGTATTCAGAAGTGGACTTGTACACAGTGCTGCAGAAAGCACAGGAGAGAGGGGGGAAAGAATGGGCAGACCTGGGTCCTTCTGATGGTCTTTCCCTTGTTCTGAAACATTTAGTGGTTGTCAAATAACAGTAAAAGTATCCCTCAGAGAAAAATTAGGGTGCTTTTCATGGCTGCTTTGTCCCCAGATCAAAGGATTGTGTTCACCTTTGAATGTGGTTAAATGTAGAATGGAAAGTATATAAACAAAAATGAGCAAAGTCTGGAATTTCTGATTGACAATGAGGATTTGTATTGAGGGTTATTGAGTGCAGGGAGAAAGTCTAACAACCTGGCATGGGGGAAGACACTTCCCCTGGGCTCCCAAGCTCTAGGCTTCCATGGGTTGGGGGAGGGCCAGGGTCTAAGAACACTGTGCAGGGACCACTGTCTTCTCCACAGTGCTTCCTTCATGTATGACTTCACAGCTGAATACATTTCCAGTTCTATATTGGTCAGGTGTCATGGTCAGGTAGCTGCTGGCCACATACTTGTTGTTGCTCTGTTTGGAGGGTTTCATGGTCTCCAAACCCTGAGTAACAGGGGAGCCGTCTGTCTTCCAGGCCAAGGTCACCATGCCCGGGTAGAAGTTGCTCACGAGACACACCATTGTGGCTTTGTTGGTTTTTGTTCTTCAGAGGATGGCAGGAACAGAATGACTGAGGGGGCGGCCTTGGGCTGACCTGTGGGGGTCAGGGAAGAACAAAAGTTCAGTGTCTTGGTTTCCACATGGGGAGCTTTGACCTCTGTGTGTGAGGATAGGTCAGGCCTTCTATGCCAGTTTAAGATCCTTCAGATGGCTCAAAGTGTCTCCTGGACAGTGAGTCAGGTGTTCCTAAAACCACTCCCTGTCAGTTAAGAGCCCTGGATACTGCCTACCTGTGACCTGTTCTGAGACCCTCTAGACTTTGGCCTCCTGCCAAGTCTAGAGTGTCTCAAAACAGTCACTTCTTTCTGCCTCCTCCTGACATCCTGACCTGGTCTATCTGGAGCTTTGTGTCTGTCCCCTGAGCTCTCTGAATCTCTTGTTAGATTCACTCTGGGGGCTTTTCTTACCTCACATGTCTGCTGTGCATTCTTTGAGTCTAACTTAAGGGCTACATTTTTGCTCAATTCTTTTTTTCCCTGGAGCCTCTGATCATCTGAGTGAGTCTACTGCCTGTCCTGGTCTTTAGTTGTTGGAGTTCATGTTGAGAGTCCCTCTGTCTGTGGACTGATTGGTGGCATTTATGCCTTTGATCTTGGGATCATGCCTTGGGATCAGTAAACTCAGGGAATCCTGCTTCTTGGAGTATGTCCTAATGAGTTCCAGTTACTCACCTTCCTGAATTCCACACCCTTAGATGACTTCTTTACTGGCTCCCTTGTGTTAAGAGCCTTACTCTCCTTCCTCCCTCCTAGCTGGGTTTCTTGAGTACACAGAAAACTCAAGGTTTTCTCTGTGGCAGCCCATGGAATCCTGAGGAGGCCCTTCCACCTCCTAACTTTTTTGGTCCTGGATCAAAGTCCCTCAGCCCAGGGGACTTGGCCATGAGCCTCTGACCTGTGGTTCCCCAGTTGTGACACTCAAGGTTTTTAGGCCCCTCTAAAGTCTCCCAGGTAGTCACTTCTTCAATGCCCTTGTAAAATGAATACTCCATTTCCCATCAATAAAGTGACTCAAGCAGACTGGGCCCAAATGGGAAGGACAGTACAGAGCAAATAAATCCTGGAGATCCAATGACCCACTAGCAGACAGAAAGACAGACAGATAGACAGACAGTGAAATCTCAGAAGGTCACCCCATTCAGTCCCTGCCTTTGGGGTCATAGGTAAGGGTTACAGTTACCAATTGAGGCAAGCAGGTGTCTGAACAGAGTGGGGAGAGATTCTTGCCCCAGGGGTTGGGATCAGGGAGAATGCTTGATCTCAGGCTGACACAAGATAGAGAGAAAACAACAAAAATGTTAGAATATAGGCCCAAACACTGGGAAGAGGAAGGAAGGATTGGGAAGAAGACACTTACCTAGGACAGATACCTTGGTCCCTTCACCAAACATCCAACACTGTGACACAGGCTTATAAAAAATCCCCTCCCTGTGCCACCTCTTGTCCCCACCTGCAGCTGTGAATGAGGAAGCTCAGGGTCCTGCTTCTGGTGTTGTCTACTTAGCAATGAGTCCTCACAGTCCCCACCCATACCCCACGAATAATGGGATGAGTGACATTGTGTGATGCTGGATGTCACCCTGGAAACACAAGTTCCTGAGGGTCGTTTGTGTCTTGGATTTGTTTTGCCATCAAACCATCACCCAGGCATTGGAGTGAGTTTATTGATGGGCATTTTTGTCACTAAGGAGTGACTTTCCATGGAAGCATATAGATAGGCTTTTCCTTGTAAAGCTGATACCATGCTGATTTCTTGCTGAAACCATGAGCTGAAAGTGGGTGCCTTCCTTCCTGAAGGGCAAGACCTTTTGCCCTGGAGTCTTTTGTTGTAGGAACCTTCCCATGAACCTGTCCCTGACTCCAGGGCTCTCAGCCCTACCTTCCTTGGGGTGTCCTTGCTGGAATGGGCCTGGCCAGTGAGGCCTGACTGGACTCCTGGGAAATGCCAGCCTCATTTTACAAGGTGACCTTGGGAGCATCCCAGCCCCCTTTAATCTGGCATCATGTTTGCAGGATCATCTGGGGTGGTGGCTTCCTTTGCCTTATTCAAATGGGGAATGCATGAGCCAGCATCCCAAACATGTTCTCCAAAGACTACCTCCCACCAAAGGGGATGCCATAAATGGCCTATCCCAGGCCTGGGGCAGGGAAGGGACAGGTGAGGCAGAACCTCTTGTTATCTGAGAAATTAAGAACCATGGAGGCCCCTGCGGTCATGATCCCAGGATTTTAGGAGCCACCTGAGGGGGCTTCTTGTGTGCAAATGTTCATGTTTTGTAGCCATCAGTGAAGCACAGCAACAATGAATCCCAATGCAGATCCATTTACATAGTGGAGATCACCCTGGCCTTCAGTTTAAATGTTCACTTTGTAGAATAGCAGTATACCAGATGGTCAGTTTTTAAAAGAGATGAACAAAGTGGAAGCATCAACATTTCCCCTCTTTCCTAGTTCATGATGCTCAATCCTGAGTGGAAAAGGGGAGCACATTTAATGCCCTTTCCTCATGCAGACACACAGATTCCTGAGAAGGATGTGACTGGAGCATCCATCCTCTGTGCTCCTTCACATCTGAGTGACAAAGCAACTGATCATCCAACAAGCTAATAGCAATAAATACTGAGGACCCAGCGTGGTGCCTTTTCTGGAAGTCACCAGTGTTCTTGGGAACCCATTTACAATGTCCTGCCTGAGCCTGGTAAACCCATTGATGCTAAAACCACTTTGTAGGAAAAAGAGGCTGAGAGCAGTGCTGGGCTCCTGCTCGTGGAGGCAGTGGCTGCATCTCAACCCGGGCAAGGTCCTGGGACTAACCCTCAGCTCCTGCAGCTCCTGCCCTGCAGGACACGCTGGAGTGATTTGGGAGATGTCTCCAGATGGAGCAGGTCTAAATCCATGTATACCAATGACAGTATCAAGTGTTTAGTCCTCATCAAAACTCAATTACAAACCACACATGAACAGCAGCATCCCAAAGTCAACTCAATATATCCACAATGTTATTCACAAGGTGTTTGATTAGAACCTCACTAGCTACTTTTATTATCAAGAAATTGTTGATTCTTCCATTGAAGTTTATAATGACTTAGAGTTTGGGGTTCACTTGAAAATATTTTATGAGGCAGTAATTTTGTTATTCTGGTGTGTAAGGTCAGTATTACCACAAAATTGAACTTCTGGCTGGCTGGGTATTGCAACATCAGGTCATTGTTAGTCTACTGTCTCTCTACTTTTTTGTTTCAAGATCTGCATAGTAAATATATACAAGAAAGGATGAAGAAGAAGATGAACCTTGGGGTAGTGCCCGACGGTAGGATTAATCCTAACAATCTACCCAGGAAAGCCATGGAGTTAGGGGAGAATGGGAGGACTCTGTCCTGTGGGCATCAACTTTCATATTGATGAACTGGGTCATATAAACATTCTGGAATCTCTAAAATTCAATTCCGCACAAGGCTGCGGCTAGGGGACCATTATCAGTTTCCTGGCAGCCCCCTATTTTTCTACACCATTGTTGACAAAGCCCTCTGTCCCTGCAACTGTGTCCTGCAGCTGCCTCATCCCTAATGAGCCAGTGGAGGCCTCAGGTTTGGGTATGATGAAGTCACAGAGACATCCAAGTCC